TTGGAATGAGGCAGATCTATGAGAAGGGATGTATAGGTCAGAGGGTCGGGATCTTGTAGTGAGTGAATGGATTGAGGACTTAAATTGGAGAAGGTTGTAGGCATAAGAAGGACGATGATCGGTAATGATTTGATAAAGGAAAGTGCCAAGGAAATATTGTCTTCTTAAGGAGGGGAAGAGCCACCCTAACTCAGTGTAGTGGTGGGAGACACGGGAGCGTCTCGGGGTTCCGATTACAAATCTTACGAAGCAATTCATAAGTCTTTTGAGTCTATCACGCAGTTCCACCGAGAGGCCATCGTACACCACACAGCTGTAGTCAAAGTGGGGAAAGATGAGAGAGGAAACTAGGAGTCTACGGGTATTTTGGGGTAGAAGATGGCGGAAGTGATGGAATAGTTTGAGGGTAGAAATTGCACGGCGGGATATATGAGAGATATGGTGATTCCAGGAAAGGGTTTGATCTATGAGAAAGCCTAAATTTTTAACAAAGGGATAGAAGGTGATGGGGTGGTTGTTTAGATAGAGGGAGGGAAAGTTGGTGTGGGATCTAAGAAGGGGCTTGGAACCAATGAGAATGGCCTGAGTTTTGGCAGCATTTAGCCTTAATCCATTTAAGTTGGCCCAGGCATTAATTCGATCTAAATCTTCTTGAATTTTGGCAAATGCCACCAATAACTCAGCGGGAGAAAAGGATAAATAGATTTGAGAATCGTCGGCATAAAGGTGGTGGGAACAATGGATAATTGTATCATTTAGGTCATTAATATAAGAACTGAAAAGAAGAGGAGACATGCTTGAACCCTGTGCAACTCCTGAGGATAAAGGAAGGTAGGCAGATAGAGGTTGATTAGGTATGGAAACTGCTTGGGTTCGTTGTGAGAGGAAAGACTGGAACCAAGAGATAGAACTCTTGGAGAAGGATAATGATTTTAGTTTGTTGAAAAGGATGGAATGGGTAATGGAATCGAACGCTTTAGAGAAATCAAGAAGTATAAGAATGGTTAGTTTTTTGTCATCTATTGCAGTCTGGATATCACTAGTAATTTTAATCAGAGCAGATTGTGTAGAGTAGCCAGGACGGAAGCCAGATTGGAGAGGATCGAGTTGGTTGGATTGTTCAAGGAAGTTGGAAACTTGGGATTGCACCAACTTTTCTAGGGGTTTAGAAAGATTGGAAAGGATTGATATTGGGCGGAAATCTTCGGGAGAGGATGGATTAGGCTTTTTGTTTAAAGGAAGGACAATGGCTTTTTTCCAAGAGGTCGGGAATATTGAATTCTGCAGGGAGAAATTGTAGATGAAAAGGAGTGCTGGGAGGATTTCAGGGAGACATAATTTTATTAGTTTGATAGGAATGCCATCTGGGCCTACGGAATTGGAACGGGATTTCATTATAACGGAAATAAGGTCTGTGGGAGAAATGTCGGAAAAATAAAAATTATTGTCGTTAAAAGGAACCTCTGGAGAAAAGCCGGAAGGGGATGGTAACGAAGAGGTGGAAACCGATATAAAGTGGGAGTTTAGGTCATCAGGTGATATTGGGAAAACTGAGGAAGGGGATCTAGAAGGTTCACAGAGGGAAAGCTTACGAAGTAGAAGCCATTTTGATTTGATATCAGGAGCTGAGGAAAGGGCTTCGTGAAAGTAGTTCGCTTTCGCTTGTCGGATCCTTGTCTGTGTCGTGTTGCGAAGCATTCTGAATATTTGATAATCATCTGCAAGCCTAGTCCGTCTGAAGCGTCTGCGTGCAGCGTCGCGTCTCTTCTGCAGATCCTTAATTTCCTGACACATCCAAGGAGCAGGACGATGACGGAAAGTGGAGGTTTTGAGAGGAGCGTGGGTATTGAGTATATTGAGAAGATTGGTGGTGAGAATATCAACCATGGTGTCGACAGAGGAGCAATGATATATTCCATTTAAATCCAATGTTAATAGATCAGGTAATATTTTTTCTCGAGTAAGGGTATCCAGTTGGCGGAAAGTGATAGTTCGAGGATGGATTGGAGGAGTGCGGATATTATACGTTATTTGTATCAGATCATGAGATGAAAGAAAGGATACTGGCACTTGAGAGGCGGAGAGGAGGTTTTGTGCTGAGTCGATGATGTAGAAGTCTAGCCAAGTGTCAGATCTGCTGGTGTGGTGGGTGGAGGAAAAAGGAACGATGAATAGGTGAAGTGAGAAAAACAGATTTTCTAAATAGGATTTGTCATTGGATTTTGAGAGGAAATTGGTATTGAGGTCACCGGAGATAATTATTCTGGGATAGAGGGGAACGAAGTTGAATAGAGTTGATTCGAAGGACGGGTCAAATGGCACGAGAGGAGGGCGATATACCACGGCGTAAAGGATAGGAGAAATATTACTGAGAATTTCTACTAAGAGATATTCTACATGAGGATGATCGGAAGATGGGGAGCAATCGAGGATTCGGGTCTTTAGGCTATTGTGGACAAACATGGCTACTCCACCGCCAGTCCGGTTTACCCGGTCATGACGGAGCAGGATGTAATTCGGCAAGGATACTGAAGATGATGGAATATAAGGTTTAAGCCAGGTTTCGGATATTGCTATGATATGATAAAAGTTTTGGGTAAAGTATTGCAGGAATTCGTCATAATGGGCAGAAAGTGATTGAGAGTTAACTTGACATGTGATTAGGGAACTAGACATACAGTGGATTTGGAGAGAAACAGTCAGTGTTTGGTGGCGAGAAGACAAAACGAGTAGAAAGTACAGAAAAGCGATTATCGTACATGAAACTAAATGAAGAAAAAGTAATATTAACATTAAAAATAAATAAAGAGAATGTACTTAAAAATAAATAGATTGGTGAGTGACGGTGTCGAGATAGCACTAAGAGAAGAAGTAAGACTATTTTAATGAGGCTAAGGGGTTGACGGCTTCTAGGTAGTCAGTCAAATACATCTAGATCCGAGGCCTGTTCTATCAGGATGACTCTATGTCCGTCCTCTTTTCGACACCGCACCTTTCCGGAAGCAAACCACGTATATTTGATTTTTCCCGCCGCAACAAAATTTATCCACTTCTTAGTATTTATTTATTAGTAGGTTTATAACTTTTTTTTTCTTCTTATTATTTTCATGCTAATATGTTTTGATTGTAGTCTGTAGTATAGACCCCTTTTTATCAAATTATTAACATCTGCCTGAAACTTCGTAAATAATTTCATCTCATCGTAACCTACAACTATTTTATTTACGAAAACTCTTGAAATAGGGTGTTTTCAATCTGGAGGGGAGAAAACTTTGTTTATTTAATTAGGTACAAAAAACTCTTAAATATACAAAAAAACAAAATTTGACTATGGTATTAGATAAGTTATAATAGATCTTAAATTACAAAAATCAAAAGGTGCTTCCAGTGAAGTACCCCAAGTAAATTTTTGTTTTTTTAAAGGTATTTAGATTCATTTTTAAGGTAATTTAAAACTCTTAATGACGAATCATTATATAAATAAAAAATCCAACCTTAGTATTTGATTTTCTTGGATGATTTTTTTTTTCTAGCCATCAAACAAGATTTATTTCAAATTCAACTTTAATATAACCATCAGGAAGATTAATTACTCTTCTTTCAACATATTGAACTTTTGGATTTCATTTCCTTTTAAACCAGAAATTAATTAAAACTTCTAACACATTTCCATTTTATATATTTGGTTTTAATTTATTATGAAGGACTGATTTATACCATTTTGTATTGCATATAGAATCCTAAATCCCTAATAATTTTCATGTGAATCGGTAGTTTCGAAATTATCACAATTGTTTTGTGCCTAAGCAAAAATTTAACGCAAAAAATGTTGATCTTTCGATTGCTATAAAAATTCCTATTTAAGGGGTATCGAGGTGTGAAAAATGAACATCAACTTTGTTATTATTGCTTATTATATATTGTTTCATTATAACTTAACCAAGACCTCAGTCAATTTTTTTTCTTATTCCAGACAAAATAATTAATTGATTGACATATAATTACTTAAAAATCAGGTAAAAGCAAAGGAAAAATAAATAACACAATTTCGTTGGAAATTATATAAAACTGTTATAAATTAGTAAAAAAAATAACCAAGAGACAGAACATAAATGTTAGGTTATTATTGGAAAATTTCAAATCATACCTTATGTCTCCAAAATGAGAGACAAAGAGAAACCCGCCAACGTTTCGCTAATTCAGACATCATCAAGACAAAAATGAACCACCTAATCGAACATCACTCCGTGAAATCCAATCACATACTTTACTGCAAGTATGCAATCGAATTTCATGGAGTGATGTTCGATTAGCTGTTCTTTTTTGTTCTGATGATGCCTGAATTCACGAAACTTTGGTGGGTTTTTTCTTTTGCTGCATTTTGGAGACATAAGGCTGTGTGGTTTGGAATTTTTCCAATAATAACCTAAAATTATATTTAAAAAAATTTTCTCGGCTTCTAGAGCCAATTTGAATCAACATCTGGACATATGTGTAATATTTTTCTATTTAGTATCATAAAAAAAAAAAAAAAATGAAATCGGTGAACCACTCACTATAACTTCCCCTTATTACGTTGAGATGTTGGCATAAAATAAAATAAATTTTTTTTTATCTGTGACTGCAACTCCCAACTAATTTAGAATAAAATTTTTTAAAAATAACTATTTTAGCTTTATATTATTAACACCTATGATTATATACTAATTATTTAAGAATAATAATTTATTAACTGTGAATATTGAATTGTATTCTACTTTTTTGTAAATTAACTTTAAAAAAAAAAATTATACCAACTAACCAAAATTTACTCATTAGTGCAAGCTTTGAAAAAATAATAAATACAAATTAAAATGTAGACAAAGATAATTCATATCAAAATATCTAGTGCCCAGAGGAAAACATTAAAATAGGAATATATCCTTTACAGATCAATTCACATTCTGTTTATGAATCTGAGCAAATATTTGACTTAGATTCGAACATATTTAATATAGCACTGCTGAATTCATATTATCTTCATTCCACATTGCAATAGTTTCAGTATCAATGTTTCAATCAAGTTCATTCATTTTTGTTCTCTTTTTTATTCAATTTTTCGTAAGTACTGTTTAAACTAGAATTACTAATAATTACTTTTAATTAATTAGCATATTTTATTTTCATTTTAATCGAATTTCCAAATGAATTCAGTTTAATATACAATATGTTAGTTTTTGATATCTCTAGCTACAGATTCCAATTCCAATATTTTGAATTAAGATTATTAATACTTGGTTTATTAACTAGGATAAATATTATGATGTTAGTTAAACTTAAAATAAAAATATGAAATAAATGTATAATTGGATAAAAGTAAAAAAAAGGTTGCAGAAAACCAATGAATAATACTTCTTGTATCAAATTTAGCTAAACATTTATATAAATTAGAGGCAAGTGAAGAAATATTACCAGTATTTATTGCTAAGGGATAGGAAATTACATGGATTAGGTGGACAAGAGGTTTACTTTAAATTAAAATAGTCTCCTAAAATAAGACCAACAATTAAACACTTTTGTTAACATTTATTTATATTAGAACTATGATTAATGATATATATATAAAACAATCAACATTGGCTAAATATACTATTAATAAAAATAATGAAAAAATTGATTCAGAAATTGATGATTCAGAAAAAATTGAAAACCTCAAAAAATAGAATTGGAAAATGTTTAAAACTTGTAGATAGTACTAACTAAAACTAAAATTTTAATTTTAAAATGGATATGTGAGGATAGGTATCAGTGCCGGCCTTAGGATGGCAAAATCGGGACAATTGCCCCGGGACGCCTACATTGAGGCGCCATTGGGGATGCCAGTCTATCTTTGGGAGCGCTTACCATTTGTAAGAAATAAAAAAAAGTTACAAAACATATTAAAATAATTAATTTTATCCCATCAATAAACCAACTATTAGAGAAATATTGAATGCAATAAAATTCAAATATTACATAATATTCAACAGCTTAAGAAATAAATTTATTATTTTTAGAGAAGAAGAGAGATGAATTCATTGCCTACTGATAGGGATGAATTATCTAGACAATTATACAGATGAATTGACAATAGAAATAAAAAATATAAAGTTAACTGAAGATAATGAAATAAATAAATGATAATGACCTTATCAATTAGCTAGTCAGGTAGAAGTCTGGCTAGAATATAATGAAACATTCAACATCATAATGGGCAACTTAATATCATCACGGTAAAAGTTATTATTAGATTTATTAGAGCAATTAACACTTTGATCACAATACAGGTAATTTTTATTATCCTTAGTAATTTGTACCTATTGCTGATATTTTCAACCATTTACAAACTTTCATTTTGAATCTCTCAATCCAAACTTTTCAGAACCTTATGAAATATTTTGGAGTTATAAAGTTAAATCTTAAGGTAAAAGTTCGATATTCGTTATAAAGAGCTAAGTCTAATGTAGATAACGATTAACCATAGTCATGACACTCAGCAAGTTTCATGAAGATGAAAATTGTACTACTGCATGATTATACTGTCAATGGACTTTTTCAGGGCATTGTAGATGTTCATAATGTTACGTAATATTCGTAATTTGTTTTGAATATTCCTATAGTAAATTTGTATTTCATTTGCTGATGTCTAGTTGTTTATTTGTGTCTGAATTAATAACATTCCATTCTAAGCTAAATTGAAAATAAGATATTTTGATTTGTAAACACTAATTAATTTTCACTTAAATTTTTTAATAATATTGGATAAGAATATATTGTTGGTGTTAAGGCTAAGCCATTACGGTTCCATATTCAATGTCATGCCAATAACAATCAGAAAACATATTTACTAACCTAGTGTTGACATACAGTCAATAGTTCTAATTTTATATTAAAATTCTTCCTTAAGTCTACTTATATAATGTACACATCTAAATTATTTTATTATTTACATCTAAATTACTATTATTAATACTAATAGTTAATCGTAAACTAAATAATTATTTATAATTAATGGGACCAAAATTAAGTTAAAGGTATGTCTTACACGCTTGTAGATAAAAATTATCAATAATCATCAGAAAAATGTAATTTTACCACCTCACTCTGAACAATGACAAGGTATAAGCCACTGACATGTTTATTTAAAAAAAAAAAAAAGAGTAAATGAATATAACAAAATTTTTTTTTTTGTTTTAGGTTGGATATGTTGATCCAAATAAAATAATCTGCCCTCCAGGAAAAACTCAATTTCCAAACCCGTACGATCACCATTCGTTTTATAAATGTGATGCTGGAGGAAATCCTATATTGTTCCCATGTCCAGCTAAAACATGGTAATTTGTTTTTATCTTCATTTCATGTATAAGTGATACTTTAATCGCTTCTCAAAGTAAGTGTAATATTTACTTTTTTTAGAAACGATGGTTATAAAAATTTAACTTCCATTGTTGTATAAAGAATTGGTAACTTACATTTTTTTAAAAATTATTTTTGCTAAGTTAAGAAATTGGGATTAAATTAAAATAATTTTGAACATATAAAAGAAAATTACTGTTCTTAAATGTTGAAATTCACAACAGTTATGTGAAAATTTCAAGTCCAAAAGATTTTGGAAAATTACATTTTTCTGTACAAAATAATTTAAAAAAAAATTAAGTTAACGTTTTGAGAAATTTCCAAAGTTCCAATAATTGACATTCTTATGAAACTTTTTTTAACTATTGAAATTATTGAAACATTTAATTTCAATTTTTGAAGCAAGCAAGGAGACAGACAGATTCCTTTCCTCTGTCTATGTTAGATGTTTTATTGAAAAATTTCTCAAAACCTGCGAGAGAACTCCCCAGAAAATTCTGGTCCATAGAAACTTCACCCCTATTTTGGCGCTGACATATGTATTTGCTGATAACCATGTACTGATAACAGAGCCTCAATAAAATTTACAGAAAACAGTTTTAGAATGGAAAGAAGAACTGATTGGAAAAGGGGTGGAGATAAATTGAGCGAAGAATAGTCAGTGTTACTAAATGATTCCTTTTTTTTTTTTTTTTTTATTGGGTTATTCCCTACCCACCATTTCTGGCATACGACATACGGGGGGAGAGGGGAGTTAGAAGTAAAACCAAACCTATTCTAACCAGACTAGTAGGAAGGTCGAGTTCTATTTCGTAAAAGGTCTGCTACAAAATAAAAGTCAATCCCTTTCAGGCCAGATTCGAACTGGTGTTTCTAGTCACAAAGATGCTAGAATGGGCAACGCGCCAACACACTCGGCTATCACAACCATTTACTAAATGGATCAGAGCATTGGACAGCCTTGCATAAGCATTTCTGTCAGTTTCAGTTCTAAGTGAAACTCATTGTTGAACACACCTCCCTGAAGAAGATCTGCAAAGTCGGGTTGAAATGTTGGCTTTTAATAAAAATAGTTTTGCCACTATTTAGTCTATTTATGACCGCCACCCCAGAACATGTACTGTTTAATAAAAATATTTTATTGTTTTTAATATGAGTGTTGTTTAGGAATCCTGTTCAGATCTCTCTCTCTCTCTCTCTCTCTCTATATATATATATATATATATATATATATATATATATATATATATATATATATATATATATATATTTATTCATTGATATTTACAACTGTATTATAAAAAAATACAAGTAAATGTGCACTTAGGAATATAATAACATGAAATTGCTTGTTGCGAAGCTACCCACTGATAGCACTCAAATAATAAATTTACATAAGATCACGAGGCCACCTTCTTTTCAAACGCCTCAGAGGGAGATCTATATTTGAATCAATAAACTAAATAAATGTATCAACTTTATTGTAATATATATTGGATTGATAATATAGACCTATTTTACAGAAAATATTATTTACGCTATATTATCAATGGGCTCAGTAAAATAAATACATATTATTAATTTTTATTGATAGAAAAAGTATGATTCATACCAGGAAAAAATGTAAATAAAGTGTTGAAAAAACCCTACTGATGATTTTTTACATTTTAGATATTTTATAACTCCCAATAAAAGGTAGTGATGTAGTTTTCTATACTTAGGCCAAAACATTTCATTGTGATAAATAAAGTATCTTCAATAAAAATACTTCATTCATCCATATTTTTATAACATGAAATATATAGATGACCTTGGAAAAAATAAGCTTAAGTTATTGTGTGACAGATAGCGGCACTTAAAAATGATTTTAAAGCTTCGTGCTTTAAATCAACCTAACAATTATTTAGAATTATATTTATATCAATTAATACAGAAATGAAACAGAGCCAAACAAAATACAGATGAAATCATATCACAATTTTTTCCCTTTTTTTATTTTATTTTCTTACGATTTAAATAACTTCTCATAAAAATATAATTGAAACTTTGATTTTCTAAACTTTACATTCCAAATTTTAAAATTGTTAACGATTTAAACATATTTTAATGAAGTTATTGTATAAATAGTACACTTGAAATAATTTCTATGGATAGTTTCAGGAATAAAGTAAAGGAACTCTATTCACCAAAAAGTTATTATTAGTAGAAGTTATTATTATTCACCAAGAAGTTATTATTATTATCTCCTGAGAAAGCATTTTATTAGTCCAACTTGTTTATATTATTAAATCAAACTTCAATGCATGTAAATTTTGAAGAGTATACAATGTAACTCTTCAACTCTTCGCAAGGTGCTACTATGCCGACTAACAGATGAAAATTGAACATTTCCATTTCATATTATTATCAACAAAAGAAAAATTTTGTTTACTTTTCAGAATAAATTATTCTATCTGCAACTCATCCCTTACAATAGCAGAGAGAGTTACAGATCCTCACCTCAAAAATTGGTTCCTGCCAATTGTCTAGTATATTTATCATGTTTAAATTTTTTTTTAATGGATATATGAACAATCCTATGATTCCGCCAAATGAATCAATACAAATGTTGTATGCAGCTCAAAATACAATTAATGTATTGTGATGTTATAAGAACCATAGCAACAATGGGCGTATGGCAGGGGAGGTAGAATAATATTTAATTATTCTCAATAATTTGAAAGAAAATAAAACATAATATAATACAAAGTTTTGCCAAAAAATCTAATAAAAATATATTTTTGTATTATATTTTTTAATATTAATTTGTTGTTCTATGTATATATGGTGCAATAAACTACTCATATAAAGAATATTACAGGGTTTGAAATCATTTATCTACCTGAGATTTTCCTTTATTCAGTCTTGCCCTCTCTCCTAATATGAAAGCTGTGTACGCCCTTGATATCAACTGATAGTGGGTTAAGAGTTTAAATATATTTTATGAGATTTAATAAAACCGACCATGATAACTGATAACATTTTGCCAAGATGAAAAAGAATGTGTGAATATAAGACCATTTTCTGAGAAAAACATAACAATAGATCAAATATATATACATAACAATAGCCTAAAAGATTTTTCTGGAGAGGAAAGAAGTTTGACAACCAAGATGCTGGCCAGATGAATTGCGGAAGAAGAATGGTGGTGTTCATAGACAGGTTCCCTATGACATCAAATTAGATATATAGAAATAAAAGTAAAGTGAAGTAGTATCTTTCTTCACATATTGGGAGAAAGATCTGAAAGTAAAGTTGGGAAAAGAAAGAGGAACTTCATTGGGATCTAATCTGGTTCATACATTCCAGATATTCAACTTTTTAAATACCAACTTGCCAAGTATTTAAAACTTCTATTTCAGACTATTTCCCAATCCTATTGTTATTGCCAATGGATCCTGCATATTAGACTAATTAATTTGGTATTGTTCATCTAGGCTCATCTTGTAGCTGTTTTCCCAGAGTTAGACTACATGGACTAAAAATATACCTAGTAATGATCCACTACACTTTCACCCTCCAACACACAAATTTCCATGGCTTCTGTCTTCTACACTTTATCTTTTTTTCCCTGTAATTCTTTTGAAGTCGACAAATAATAGTCTTTCCTTCTGACATTTTTATGAAATTTATAAAACTATCGTTAAAGGCAGAAGCAGTTGGTTTACTTAATTCAATAAAGGATTATTAAAAGTAAACAACTACGTATGAATTGTTCACATCAGAGTCAAATAAGTATTAAAACGAAGATTTTAATGATAGAAATGAATTAATGCACAGACTTTTGTGCAGACTTATAAATCTATGATTGAGAAGGATTAACTGTCAAGTAAAAGTAACTGTTACTTTTTGTTATTATCATAATTAGTTTTGTTCGTTGTTTTATTTAATTTTTCCTATTGATAAGTTTTACTATTTTTTTTTCAATCTATTTACTTTTCTTTAGGTTTAACCCATGCTTAGAAGTGTGTGATTGGGATACTGGGAACTATAATTGTCAAAAAAGTGGTGGAACTGGCTACCCCTCAAATCCAGGTAGCAATGGAAGTGGAAACTCTGGTGATAAATATCCTTCTGGGCCAATAAACAATGGCAGTGGGAACAGCAACAATGTTATCAATATTAATATAAACATCAATGGTTTGTATAAATGATCTTTTTAAAATTTTTGTATTTCTTAATTAAGTACTCATACGTTATTTTTAATTGATTATTTAAAAAACCTTTCTGTGAATAGTAAACAAATTTTAGCTATTTCAAACTTTCACTAAGAAGAAAATTAAATTCATTGTTAGCAATCATCGGATAAAAAAGGATTATTTCAACTTAATCATGTGTTTTTATATTCAAAATCTTTTCAACAGTGTCATTTATATACTACTTTACTGTGAGTCCCAAAAATTACATATTTCTTTTGACACAAAAACTTACAAAAATTCTTCAAATTGAATGATTACAATAGAATTGTAAAATCTAAACAGTATTATACTAAACTGGTTCGTATATTTTTACTTCACTTCACTTTTCCCTTAATTCACCATTTTAGTGGCAATAAAAATAAAATATTAATAAAATAAAGTTATATAACCACAGATATACAACTCATCTCACATTATTAATTTAACCTATTAAAAGACATGAGATGAGGACGATCTAAGATTTTTAAACTAAGATAATATCTAAGATACTAATTTTATGTATTATAATAAGCAAAAATGTAATCACCTATGATTTTGATTTAACAAAATGAATTAACAACAATATTAATCCGTAATGCCTGAAATGGAGAAAAAATGATTATAGTTAAAAGCCTACCTTGAATTGCTACTCTGTTTTATATCAGTTCCCCATGTACATTTTCTGTATTTTTACTCAATCTTTTCTTTCCAAGTATGTAAGAAGAATGCCAATTATTTTTTTTATGGAGTCTCGAATATGTTTGTGTTGACTTCTTTGTTATACTTCTTGATTATAGGTCACTTCTAAAAAAATGTTAATAACAAGTTTAGGTATTGAGAAATATGTCTATATTGAATTTATTATTTTTTTCATGTATAGGGTAAGCTGTTTTTGTAATTTTTGTCTTTCAAAATGTTGAAATACTATCAGCCTATTTTTTTTTTTTTTTTTTTTTTTACTTTTACTCCTTACTTACCATTTCTGTCATAAAGACGAGGTGGGGGTTGTCCTAGAGATATAAAAAACAAGGTCTATCCAGAGTAGAAAGGTAGAGATCCATTCCATGGGTCAAAAAAAAAAAAAAAAAAATTCAGTCCACCCAGGCCGGATTTGAACCTGATCAGGCAGCACTTTAACAGTGTAGGCCACCACAGCCTTGAAATACTAACAACTAACCTTGTTGGTATTTATTAAAATAAAAAAATTGTTACTATTTATTCTTAATGTTTCTCCATCGGAAGGATGGGCAGCTTTTCCATCTCCCCTTCCCGCCTAGTCCCATAGAGATAGATGTAATCTAAAATCCTTTTACAATGAGTGCAATAAAACGCTTTACTGGGTCTAATGAATCTCAAATTACAGTTCCTCCATTTTCATAAGAGCTGGAATAAAACTGATCTATCCAAATTACATGTTTACATGTTAACGTTTTAGGATATTTACTCCCATCTTCAGAACTACATCCCAATGTTTTTTAGCTAAAAAAATTGAGTTAAAATATAGTGCATGTTACAATACATGTCAGAATTGGGTTGTTTCATTAAATTTGTAATTACCTTAAATCTAATTTGCTCCATTGTCAGATTCTAAATTCATGTTATAATAAATTAAGGTATATAATATCCAGAATGGAAGTCACCATTGGCAAATAACAAAGAATAACATACAACTTCCCAGAAAAAAGAAAAAAGATGATCTAGTTTTATTATATCGAAACTGTCCTCAGTAACTTGTATTAAAAAAATTTTATTCCACTCTCATTATTAAATACAAAACAAAAAAAACCCTTACGGTATTGTAATTTTCAGAACATCCTTGAAAGCCAGTTCAATAATAGTAATACCAGTAGCATTTGCATTACTATCATTGCAAAATTAATGAATCCTATAAGTTCCTATAACATAAAAATTCAAGATTTTGATTGATGAACACACATAAACACTTTGACTAATACTGTTTCAGAAAACTAAAAATGATTTGTGATTAAAAGTATTATTTTATAATCTCACAACAAACTAATGTTATAATCTCATATATGTGTATGTAGATAATATTATAAATTGGAAATTGCTTCTGAATATTCAACATTTTTCTTACTTATTTCTATTAGGTGGTCAAACTGGAGATAATGCAGGGAAACCTAATGCTCCATCAGCTGATGGAAACAGACCTCAAGACCAACCAATTCCACCATCTCACGGTGGGTACAGACCACTACCCAATTCAGGAGGAATGACCCAACCTAATTCCCCAAGCAACCCTACACAATTAGTTCCAAATCAAAGCTGCTCTGTCTATGGGCTCTTATATCAAAACCCTAACGATTGTTCTACTTACTTCATGTGTAACCAAAGGAGATTGGTTCTCGTTCACTGTATACGAGGTTATTTCTACATACCAGAAAGAAAAAGATGTGAAACGACTTATCCCACTGGCTGCAAATTTGTTGACCATAATGTAGGTGATTCTAAACCAATATATGAAACAGAAAATGATGTTTGGCAGTATCAAAGAAGACTTAAAGGATAATACAAGTAGAGTTGATTATGTGTTCTGCGAATTAATATATTGAAAATAATTAATAAAATTTCCATACCATGAGTTGTTTTTTTGTCCAGTATAACGATATATAGATGCTTTTATTTTTCAATATCTTTTAATGTTTTTTAATAATGAATCTAAGCCTTGAGAATAATTTGTGCTGTATTTTCAGGGGAGTATTTATACAAAAAAAAAAAAAAAAGAATCTGTACCACTACAAGGGACTTGGGTTCAGTACTATTTAGGGAAAGCACTGTTTCTTGGTCTCGGTTGTGCAAGGAGGTGATTTAACTGAGATCACGCTCAACCGCAATGTTTTTCCCCTTAATCAATTATTTTCATTAAGGATATCCACATTGTAGAGGCTGGGTATGCCCCAGGAGGGTTTACCTACCCAGGGTCGGTAAACCCTACAGCCCATGAAACAGAATTAATCATTTTTCTGCCATGACCCGGGATTCGAATCTGGGACCTCTAGCGCTGGAAGCTCAGTACATTTATATAAAACAATGTAAAAAATTTATTTGAGAAAATTACAGGAAAGACTCTGTATAAACACCAACAATCATAAAACTTATCAAATAAAAATAAAAATTTATATTGGCTTTATGACTTATTACTATATAATGGTTATATCCTTAAATTTTCCGATCAAAAGTTTTCTCGAAAATCAGTGTTTCTCATGACTGGGAACTTACTGATCGTTATTTCATAGGTTTTAACTGGAATCGATTCCAATATAGAAAATGACAAAACCGAATAAACAGTCATATTATAAATATAAAAGAAAAATGTATAAAATATAAGGTTATTATTTATATGAGGACCACACAGGTTATGTGTGGTTCACAATTACTTCGGTCACACTTATTCATGAAATGCCAAAAATAATCTTTCGGATTAACCTAAATGCATTTGGCACTCCATGAACAACTGTGGCCGAAGTGATTGTGAACCACTTATAACCCGTGTGGTCCTCATCTAAATAATTACCAAATATAATAATAGATTAGTTACATAATGATGATATCATCCATTTATAATATATTAAATTATCAAAAATACAATAAATATGTGTTAACATAAGTAACCACGTAATTCAGTAATTAAATAGATACTTATATATATGGACACTAAAATTTATTGCATTGCTTATGAAAATTTTGTTAAATTATAAATGAAACAAAGGAAATATGTTTTTAAAACCCACTAAGAAAGAAAACTTCATATCTCCCTAGCCATGACACAGAGCACTAGCGGATCCAGGATTTAATTTTGGAGGGGCTTCAGCCCAAAATTTTTTTTTCATATACATATAACAATAATTAATTAGAAAAAAAAAAGAAAGAAATTAACAACCTATATGAAATGGTGTTTAAGTGGTTCCTATTAAATGAAAGTAGCTGAAGTCCTATTAAATGTAATTAGACGAACAAGAATACTTTAAGAGATAGTTTTTAATATTTTTTTCTGTAAAATATGATAATATTTTACCATTTTGGGGGGAGGGGAGGGCTTCAACCCGAAAGCCCCCTCTCCTCCTCCCTAGATCTGCCTGTGACACAGAGGATTCATTCACTGTTACAAGTAATTAATAATTCATACTCATAATTTCTTACATTCTACAAAATATATTACATCTTCAATCAATATTATTGCTACGTTTGCATATAATTTAGTAGGTTTACAATGGATTTATTACAGACTTATAGAATACTTATATTTTAAGAGGTGATGTTAATGACTACTGCTTTATAGACAGAAAATAATTGAATGATGAATATCTCTTTGTATAATAAAACTATTTATATTTACCCTTTTATAAATAATTTATTCAATGAAGTGCCAAATTAAAAGGTTATTATGATTTAAATGGCTGATAATTGCTAGTTGGGTTTAAAGAATGATATTAATTGATATTTTGAAATATCTGAGACTAAATGTAAGTTAAATTATTCCTGCATAAACGAAATTGCATTATTTTTTTATACTAATGCCTGTCTACTGGATTCATGATAGTTGAATAGAAAACTAACAGGTAGCGCTGTATGCACTTTTCCGTACAGTGGCTTAATTATTAAGTGACTGTAGAATCCGTCACGGGCGGATCTACGGAGGGGGGGGGGAGGCACTTTCGGGCTGAAGCTCCCCCAAAATGGTAAAATATAACCACGTTTTACCGAAAAAAATATTTAAAAAGTATCTCTTAAAGTATTATTATTCGTGTAATTACATTTAAAAGGGCTTTAGCAATAACTTAAACACCATTTCATACAGGTAGTTAGTTTCTTTCTTTTTTCCAAAGTAATTATCGTTATGTTTATGAAAAAAAAAACATTTCGGGCTGAAGCCCCCCCTCCAAAAATAAATCCTGGATCCGCTAGTGGTATCCGTTGCCTAGATAGCGAGTTGAAAAGCAACGAATACAATAATTTATTTAGGTACTTTTAATCATATCACAACTATGGGAAATTCAATTATCTAACTTAACTAACAGCAACATTATTGCTAAACAAAACTATTTATTTTATTTCTCTTGATACCGACAGTCACTAGCGCGGATCCAGATTTAATTTTGGGGGGGCTTCAGCCCTAAAGCTTTTTTTTGTTACAAATATGTAATTATAATATATATAAATACTTTGGAAGAAAAAGAAGAAATTATGACATGGTGTTTAGGCGATTCTTGAAGTCCTGTTAAAAATAACTACACAAAAAATAATGATTTTAGATATAATTTTTTTATATTTTATTTTTATATGACACGGTTATATTTTATCATTTTGGGAGGCTTCAGCCCCAAAAGCCTTCCCCTCTCCACCGTAGATCTGTTTGTGCCGATAGTAGATGCAAAATATCAAAAAACAAGAAACAAAAATACTAGCATAGTGAAATAATCATTTACATATTTGTTTTGCCATAGTTTGTGAAATGTAGTGGAGGATTCTCAACTGCAAATATATCTACTAAAACTGTAAATATAGGAAGCAATAATATTTTCCTTTGAAACAACTCACCTTCCATAACCACTGGTATAAAAAGGTTAGAGTCAATCTAATTATTGTTCTATTACCTGAATAATAGTTAGAATAAAATACTAATAATACTAATAATAGTTTTAGAGTGATCGAAAAAAAAAAAATGTAAAATGTCTAAATGTTGAACGTTATAAAATAAACGTTGAACGTAGTTAAATATAAACTTTAAAAAGCACCATAAACACTTTTAAAATTTATTTGAAAGGTTATTAATTAATTTATGATCAATGATCAGAACATTGTCTTTGTTAGCTATTGTTAGCAAACAATATTATTTTCATAGAAATAAACATTTTTATATTATTTAATTAATGAATCAGAAATAATAGTCTTTGTTTGTGCATTGTACTTTATTTATCTGCTCCCATAAGTTAAAAATCCTGTAAAAAATATAATGGTATGCCAAGAATGAGGAAACTGATTACCCAGTAGCATAAAATCTATATGATTTGTACATTTTTTCTTCTTCTGAACAGGAAAGTTTACCCATCCAACTCACTTTAAGAGTTCTCCAGGTTTTAATTAGGATGGCAGTTGAGGTCATATTATTTACAAGCGTGTTCTTTGTTCTAAGATTGTTTTTAGTCAGACAGATATTCATCGACTGATGAAATAGTCATATTGTAAATGTAAGAAGGTCCTTGGGGAGGTATTTTGGCTATTTCCGATTCAAAATTATAAAACCTGCTTCTTATCCTTAAATGTCAATATGGCTTCGAATTGATTCATAACCCATAACTGTACTTATTTCGAATATGTGATATCTATTATCTGAAGAAATATGAAAATTATTTTTAAAATGCTTACTTAATCCATATCTGACTTCTGTTAACCTGTTTCATGATATTGTGAAGCTTGCCTACTTGTTTAGTTAAGGATGTGATTGGTTTACAAGTGTATTACATGAAAAATACAACAAGTAAATGTGACATTGGTAACATGACATGTACAACATGAAGAGAAACTACTCATTGGTAGAACTAAAATTAATGTTCAATATTAGAAAGTCGCGAGGCCATCTTCTTTTCAGAAGCCTCGGAGGGTTATCAGGAATAGAAGAGGAAGCAAGATTGGAAACAAGAGGATTCGGATGGTTCAGAAGTTTATTATGGAATGTTAGGTTTCTGGATTGGACTAAATCGGAAACATGTGGTACGTTAAGGTCGTTATGGATGATTATATTTGTGACAAATTATTGAGGATCTTACGAAGGATTTTGGATTGTAAGGAATGAATACGAGAGGAATTCGATGGTTTAGTAGAGCCCCAAAGCTCGATTCCGTAAGTCCAAATATATCTTATTATAAAGGAAGGAGATGGTCCGGGGTTGCGGTCATAAAAAGGCTAAATAGTGGTAAAACTATTTTATTGAAAGCCAACGTTTCGACCCGACTTTGCAGGTCTTCATCAGGGCTAGAACGGACAAGATACAAAAGATAGATCTCTATCTTTAACGGTCAACCATTAAATATTCAATATGTCTTATTATAGTCATATATATAAGTCTTTTGTAAGTAATTAGGAGTTTAGAGCGTTTGTCTAGTATGTGCTGTAGTAGTTGAAAACGTCGTGCTGTTTCTACTCGTTTCAGTCTGGTATGATTCCAAGTGAGTCGTATGTCCAGGTGGAGTCCTAGGTGTCGGATTTGTTCAACAGGGATAAGTGGGGTCTTGTTAAAGGATACAGTAAGGCGCATTATTTTTATTAGAGTGCACTGACATGCAAAAGTGACTTGCTCTGAAATGGACGGTTAGGTAACCGTCTCACTAGCCGATCCAGAATTTAATTTTGTGAGAGCGGGGCTTCAGCCCGAAAGTCTAGCCCCCTCCCCTGTAGATTCGCCTGTGATTAGCTATGAATACTTTGTTGTAAAGATTCGTTTTTATTACACCCGATATTAATGATAAACGATCATCTCTGCACGTTTTCTTTCTTCTTTTTTTTTTTCTCTCTCTACATCAACATCTTGTTTTTATTATTTTTTGTGTTTTTTTTCTACCAAATTATATTTTATAGGATCCTCTTCCTCATTTGACTAGATAGATGTCCAAATACGCGTGCAGTGACATAAAACCGATGAGCGATGAAGCCAGAGCCTATTCTTTCTGTCTTTTAGGAGGATAAACATTAATAGGTTATTTATTGTTTACAAAATCTTAAAATGGTTCTTGTTCTTGCAGTTGTAAACTCATTTCTTATTCTTAGGTAGATTTCCCATTGTTAAGTTCCCACGTTTTGCAAGACTCTCA